GTCAGCAGACAAATGATCACTGTAATATTTTTCTGCAACCCTTTTATATTCTCTATTGGTAACATCCATTGCTGAAAAAATAAGAACATTACCGCATGACAAGATACACAACTATTAACATTTCAACAAAATATATTACAAGCACAACATAACAATTCAATACAAGATGAATGATAGTATCATAGCACAATCTATCACGTGTAATATCATTGCAAAGCAAAGAAAAACTAATACGATAAGTAATTGTTCTACCATAAAATTAAAAAAAAAAAAACATTGGACACCAACATAATACATTGGACACCAACATAATATTTTTCTTGACAATACATTAACTATAAGAGTAGTTGTTTTACGAATAAAAAAATTAATAAGTAGACTCCACTGTAAAAACATAGAAATGATAATGATTAGTTATCGAGTTTTTCGTAGAAGAAGCACAGATAATAAATCTTTTGCTCAGGTGTCATATATATGAAGAACTCCCTCTTCATAGGATCTCAAGTAGCTTCATGGACTATAAATATAATTGCATATCTTCATAAACTTCTACAATTTTCTCTAACATTTAATCACATTAGGAATATATGAAGAAGGTTTTGTGATGTTAAATTCAAAAGATAAATTAGTACATGCCATAACCAACTCTGATATTTGACTACTTAGATATGCAGGGCCAATCTTTTTATTGCGACCTACCCTTGCTTTTAACAAGGGTGGTATTCTAACACGACTGAATTCACTGTGTTCATTAATGTCATATGATGATTTATGAATTGGTTCGTTTGGGCTATCTCTATGTTCTTCTGATTCTTGAGGAGTTCAGACATGACCACCCATTGCAATAACGCAGCTAAACATGACATCAAGTTTTTCCTCTAGCTCTGGTTCGATGTTTACCAAACCTACATTTTTTAGCATTTGACACAAAATATTATTCATTTAATGAAAATGAATAGTTATATCTACAAATTAAACATATAATTAAAATAGAATTATAACTGTTTTAAAATTCATTTCACCTCTAACTTCTTCTTTCACCAACCCGTTGATGCATCAATAGCGCTCTTAATCGAATCCCAACAAAGTCCAGTAGATCATCTTTTTAGCTCTTTCCAAAATTTTCAATCTTGTTTAATTGATATCATTTGTTCTTTAATTGTATTTGGTCATACAATCTTCCAGTATTTTCGTGAAAATTTTTGGTAATGTTTTACCAATTTTATTTGTTGAAATTGATTGTTGGTCTATTTCCAACTCAAACTCTTTCAAGCAAGTGCCACACAAAATCATTTTCGTTTCTTTCTCCTAATAACGAATGATATGCTGCTCCTTGTGTTGCCTAATTGTTGTAGTATCTAGAAGGTAGGTATATGCTTTCAAATGTTATATGATAAATAGAAGAGCATCCCTGACACTACAATAAGATAAAGTTTGCATAATTGTCAAATAATATGGGAAATTGAGGAGCAAATTTATAAAAAAAATCAAGCATATCGATCTTGAAATTTTTACTTTAATTACATTTATATTGGGATCATATGTGGCCTACTGTGACTCAGGGAGCTCATAGGACCTTCAAATGAATGCTATGGGCACAATAGGCGGGGACTGCACAACCATAGTCCTGCTCTAGGATGATGGGTGCCAATTTGGCATCACTTTTGGCATCCTCAGCGTTGACGTTCATTCCTCTGTCATAGGGTTGTATCTTATTGATATAGATGTTCTCATGACGTAGACCATCGACGAAATTACTCCATACGTGTTCGGACCTTAAGCCTAAGGTCCAGACTATCGGATTTCGCTTTGGAGTCGTTCACTCGATGACACACATGTGGAACATCTTATTGCTTCGTGCAATAAGGCATTGGTACACTTCTCCATCAGTTGCCCCAGGGTTCTCGTGAGACCGCTAGGACGAGCATGATTCATTGTTGATGTCAATTGGGTTTCATTTGCTTGCATGTCTTCACATTCATGATCATGTGCTTATCATGATTTTAAAAAAATGGAGTAAACTGTCCTTTTTTTGCATGTTTTGTTGGTCGATAGCCTACACGATCGATCGATACTGCCCATTTGCCTGATCTATTTATCGACCACTCCCTGTCGACACGATCGATCAGCGCCGCCTGCCAGCCTGATCCGTTTATCGACTACTCTCGTCGACATGATCGATCGGCGCCGCCCACCAGCTCTATTGATCTATCAACCACTCCCCATCAACAAGATCGATCAGTGCTGCCCACCGGACCGTCGGTCTATTGACCACTTCCTGTCGACATGGTTGATACGCTGCCACTGACTCGATCGATATATTGACCATTTCCCATCAACATGATCAACTGGCGCCGCTACCAACTTAATCGTTCTATCGACCGCTTTCCGTCGATATGGTCAATCAACACCGTCACTGGCTTGATTGGTCTATCGACCGTTTTTTGTCGATTTGATTAATTGGCACCGTCATCGACTATATCAATCGGTCGATCATTTGCATTCGGTAAGTTGTATTCATGTATATATTCTTTACATTGCTCGTATTAGCACATTCACACTTGCACACTGTCACGCACTCATGTGCATATGTCCTCATGCTCATGACGAGTGCTTGCGCCTCCCATGGGCGCATTACTCTATACATTCGCTTTGTGGCATCCTCACTCAATCCGATCCTATGACACATAAGCTCTCCAGGTTCTTTTTTCAAATTTGTCTGCTTAATCTCCATCTTATTTCCCTCTTTTCCGAACCCTCATCTTCTTAGAATCATTCCGACGGTTCAAATTAAGAGGGTTCTTTGGATCATAGGATGATGATTAGACAAGCTAACTACTCTGAGTTTCAAAAAGAATCGAAACACATGCCAAAAAATTCTTATGTAAAATTTTATATATCGAACACCTAAATATTTATATTTTCATGAATAATACTAAAGTCTTTTAACATATCATCAAAAAAACAACAATCTCTATGCTTTTACAAACGAAATAAATTTTTCTATGCATTGGTTATGACAACAAGGTGTCAACTGCTGTGTAAATTTATCCATATTTTTACTGCTTAAGGACAACCTAATGAAAACTTGCCCTAAAGCAAATTATCAACTTATTTGAAATTATCAACCAAGTGAAAGCAAGCCCCATGTGCTTCATCGTTTAAAAGTCAAGCACTTCAGTTCAGTAACATATGACTTAAACCATAACTTCAGGTGCTTAATGTGAGTCATTTTTCTAAACAGAGATTGATATAAATTGGTAAGCGATGGGCACAAATTGGTATATTTGTAAAGAATAAATTTGTGCCAACGGTAGATGGATAAAGACTTCAGAAACACAAGAATAAAGACTCCAACAACATAAAGCCACAAGTGACATAAATTTGTGCAAAACATTAAAGACTTCAACAACACATGACTAAATTTGTAATACATTGTTGTTGTAAAGACAAGGATCAAGCAAGTCTTCCTAAAAGTGTAGATGGATATAAATTGGCAAAAGATGCTCAAATTCTCGAAGCTGAGAAACAAAGAATGTAAATATATGCATTCTAAAATGTACAACAAAACTCATCTTCAACAAAAAATAAAATTTGAGGGCGACCGTAAATAAGAATGGAGGAAGGTGTGGAAGCTGAATGAATGAGAAGTCTTCACCTTGAGGGCAACCGTAGATGGAAGAAGCTCTTGCGTGGGGAAAGAACAAGATGTGAGAACTTCTCGCTCGGCTTTGACAGAGAGAGGATGCTAGGACTTCTCATTTGGCGCGGCAGACATGACTTGAAGGCAACGATTGAAGAAAATGACATGAACACTGGGACTCGGATTAGTATTCACATCCGCGTTACTAATAAACAACAGAACAACGTTTGCGAACGAAAGCGCCGAAAAATTGCATCCAAATATGATGTAAACTATATTTTGAACCAACCGTGGTTCAAAACACCGAAACAAACGGGCCTTAGATTGCTGGGGTGGGGTCGCAATTATTCACTGCTTTCACAACGGGGCATAATTTCACGTGAATTTTTTGTTAACCTAATAAAATCTTTTTAAAAACACACCAAAAGATTTTATTTGGGGTATATAAATATGACTTATATAATATTTAAAATTTAAATCTCTCTCTCAAAATTTTAATATTAATTCAGCATTAAGTCATGTTAAATTGTATAATTAATTTTTAAAACGAGTAGTACTGTTAGCAAAATATTAAAAATATGGGAATAAATTAGCTCATTTGATTTCTTAGGTGCTGCATTTTGTTATTCTTAATTTTGCACTCTCATATATGAGAAAATATTAAGTGTGTGCACACAGCTGCGAACAACAAATAATGAGAGAGAAGGTTTGTATGTTCACACATTCTCTCCTCACAATCTCTCTCTAATTATTGGTTGTCCACAAGTGTGTTGCACACACGTAATATTTTCTCCTTGAGTACGCTCTCTCCCACTTCCTCACGTCTTCCCTCACTCGCTCACTCTATATCTCTCTCTCTCACTTTGTTTTACCAAAAAATCAGACATGTGCACGCTTGAGCAACCATCGATATTATTAGTTATTTCACAACGTGGCGAAAGCTTGGCAAAAAAAATATCACGCCAGGTAAATCAAATGTGCGGTGCATAACATGGATCACTCCACACCGCCAGACTCACAACACGATGCAATTCATACCGCTGTCTGCACGTTCAAATTGACACTCACAAACAACACATAATTTTTTTTAATTTACCTACTTTTATGTAAATTCAAATTTGGAGATCCATATTTAAAAGTCATTTTAATCATTAATTTTTAATATAGTTTTCATAAAATTAGAACTTACTAATTTTTTTTATTTTTAATATAGTTTTCATAAAATTAGAACTTACTAAATTTTTTTATATTTATTTACATTTAATTTCTTAACTTTAAATTAAAACATTATTATTATTGTAATTGCTTTCAATGGAGAAGAAGTACTTTTTTCCAATTTCCCTTAAAATAATGCCGGCGGATCGGACCTCTTCTGTTCTTCCGTGGTTAAAAACAAATCCCCAATTCCCAGTACCCGCATCTTCTTTCCACCTTCCCTCTGGACTTTCTAGGGCTTGAAACTCATCTGATCTGATCTGATCAGATCAGCTATGGCTTCAGAAGAAGGGAAGAAGATTACTCTGAAGAGCTCCGATGGCGAGGAGTTCGTGGTGGAAGAGGCGGTGGCAATGCTATCGCAGACGATCCGGCATATGATCGAGGACGAATGCGCGGAGAGCGGCATCCCGCTACCAAACGTCAACAGCAGGATCCTCGCCAAGGTTATAGAGTACTGCAAGAAGCATGTCGAGTGCACTCCTGTGGCATCATCAACCGGCGACGAAAAAGCCGTCGAGGAGGAGCTCAGGAGCTGGGACGCTGACTTCATCAAGGTGGATCAATCGACTCTTTTCGATCTCATTCTGGTGCGTCACCGTCCCTCCTTGACAAGTCCTCTCTCTATATATGTTTTGGTTTTGTGTTTTTGAAGTTTGATTTATCACTTTTTTTTTTTTGGGTAGTTATGATCAAATAGATTTATTTTATAAATCTTTGTAATTCAGATAGCTTATTCTATGCCAGAAGGGGAAATAGTTGCGTTTTGCGTAATCTGTGATCCAGATTTATTAGTTTGTTGATGATCTTTTTGCTTCTTGTAGCTTCATCTTATCATCTATTTATTGCGTTGTGAGCATTGTTTTTGCTGACGATAAAACTTTGGCTTTATTTGGGAAGATATGCTCTACTACGTCAGAGCGATATACATTTATTTTCTGGTTTTAATTAAAAAAAATATTTTTAAGTCTTTCCCTGTACAGAAAAATTAAAGACTACCCGTTGCCATTTAGCCAGCTTGAATAATTCCAATCCCAAGTCAGATTAGAAATGCTGAGAGTTGATTTTAAGTCTTTAGTAGATCATATAACTTACAAAAACTGATGGAATTAATCCAAACTTGAATTTTGATTGGTGCTACAAAATATGAGCTGACCCAATTACGAAGATGGTAGTTTGATACGCCGCAAATTAGGTCACATGGGGTGAAATATAAAGATTACTCGTTGCCATTTAGCTAGCTTGAAAAATTCGAATCCCAGCTCAGATGAGAAAAGTTGAGAGTTGATATTAGGTTTATAGTTGATCTTTTAACTTTCCAAAACTAATGAAATTAATCCAAATTTTGTAGTTTGATAGGTGCTACAAACTATGAGCTGACCCAATTGTGATGAGAAGTAGTTTGACAGACCTCAAATTAGCTCACTTGGGGTGAAATGTATGTTATATTGCCTAGGATGTCACCCGCAAGTGGCACGTTAAAACTTAACCCAATTATGTTAAAAATTCAAGCAATAGTTGATTTGGTAAGAAACTAAGGATAAATTTATTGCATTGCAATTTGAGTACTTTGATTAAGATGTGAGAGCTAGATGATATGATGATTAGAATCAGAATAAGTATCACTTCTTTCCAGAAACTTTAGTAAAGTAAAGAATCCAAGGAAATTGGAGAATTCTATCAGCTATTATGTGTTGGAAATATTAAAATTATTGATGATTTTAGAATAGGAGTGGATAGAGAGTTGATTATTGAAATTGTTGAGATAATTGCTATTAAGATAATTGTTGATGATGTTATTATAATTGTGGTTTCTGCTTCTGCTCCTTAAATTTGGTTAGAGTATTTTTTTTATAATCAATTTTGTGAAAAGATGGAATAAATTTTTTAAGATATATTTAGGATGAAAAGTTTTTTATTGGGGCTGACTTAAAATGAATATAGAGGTTAAAGTAGCTTGAGCTATTCTAGGATTCATAGTGAATATGAAATTGAAAATTAAAAATAATGGGAGAAACTATATTTGATTTTGTACCTAAAAACTTGTAATAACAAATACACACTTTAAGAAATGTAAAGATCATTTAATTACTTCCAAAGTGGGCCACCATATTTCAAATTGACTCGGGGATTGTTTGGTTGGATGAATTATGGGTGTACAATATTTGAAATGCAGGGCTTCAAAATATTTTGGTGTTTGGTTTAAAAGATTTGGAATACATAGTAAAATTCAGTTGTATTTTTAACTCATTCTCTAGTTCAGTTTGAGCATTTTTAACTCATTCTCCTTAATTTGGCTGTGTTGCAAATGCACTACAAGCCGTTGTCATTGCCGACATCTACCACCGACTATTGTGGCCAACTTCTACAGCCGACAACAATTTCATCACCGTCACCCGAGATTGGCTGGTTGCTTGCCACTGTCACTGGCTACATGCTGCCATAATGTTTTATATTGAATTGATTTTACTTAAAACTTTTTTTTTAAAAAAAAATTGTGCATTTGCCTTACACCAAACTAAATAATCCTAAAATATTTCAATTGAACTACACTTCTTCAGCAAACCCAACAACTTATTGAAAGGCAAGAAATTTTTTTTTTGCAAAGATTGTAGGGTTATTTCATGAGATTTTGAGCACACATCATAGTTTAATATTTATGGATGTATATTTTAACTTGAAAATGATCCAGATAAATAATTTTCTTAGGGTAGAGTGATAGGATTTAAAAGTTGAGAAATTACTAACATTCATGGTGGATTGTTAAGAGAGATAAGTTGTAATTCTGTAGGGATAAAATGTGGGATAAGATGACTAATTATTGCAATACATTGCTAGTAAATTTTAAGGAGATTTTATAGCATAATTGTATGGTAATAAGGAGACTTGGTGATTGAGTGTGTAGGTACAATCTCTTATAAGGAAGATAAAACGTTTTTAAATAGTGGAAAAAAATTAAAAAATAATGAGATTTCTGATGATTATAAGAAAATGTATGTTTTATAAAGTAGTGAGTTTTTCTCTCATAATTATCATAAATTTAGTTCAACTTGTAATCCATTCGGAATATTTGATTACAAGAAAATGTTAAGTGGTAAACCTTAAATACTTTATTGGTTTTTCAACTTATTTCTTTTTCTTTCAGGCACATTTTTTTTCTTTTTCTCTATTAAAAAAAGCTAAGCATTATTTCTCTTTTTTTAATATGTTTTACTAATGTCATTCTTCTTGTATACATTTTAATTTATAAAAAACAAATTATCAAACTTCCACTTCATGCGTTATAACCCATTGATAGTCATAATATCATCTTTATTAAAATGAATTATGATATGAAATTATAACGTAACAATTAAACCAAATTCTTGTTGAATCCTGTCATGTGTATTTATGTTCTTTGAAGAATACAAAATCATTAGAATTTATTATTTCTTATAAATAATTTAGTTTATTACAATTTAATATAGTTTACACTATTTAGTAATAATTATGCAAGTCTAATTTAACATCTCTCAATAACCATTTAATTAATTTTAAATATAAAAACTTGCTAAATCAAATATAAACTCAACTTAGGGAAGAGTCAAATGCAATTATAAAACACAATTACACATTTTACCTTGTTCATTAACTTGATATATGACAACACAAATTATCAAGTAGCGTCGAGGGGCTCTTGATTCTTTTTGAAAACAAAAACAAATGCAAAATAATGGAACACAACAATTATTTTCTCATCCCCTGACCCCTCTTCGAACTTGAGTTTCTTTTTATAAGAATTACCAAAAAAAAAAAAAAAACACTGAATAACATCATGGACAAATACTTCCATTAGATCAACTCACATCCTTCTTATTCTACTTGTTGACAATTTGAATAAAGCTGAAACTGCAACAGATCATACTCGATCTAAACCAACCTTTAACGAGCAATTTGTAAACATGGTGTAATGCCTCATTTAAAAAAATAAATAAATAAAGAATTTGTAGGTTCAATTGAGGTTTTGTGATCGTTAGAGGGGGCAAAGATGTATTGGATAGAGCCAAATGGGTTCGAGTAAGTGCGTAGGCGTAGCGAAATACAAGCAGCGTAGGAGATGGGCTTAAACAGGTTGATCTAGGATGAGGAGCAACACATGCGGGTTCGAAATTGATGTGTGTGTGAGCGGTATACTCACACGAGCAAGAGAATTAGAGAGGGAGGAAATCAAGCTAATATTGTGTTGAGCACATGAATTGATGTGGCCTTGTTCAAGAAATGGAGCGGGAGTTGGGTAGTGAGCGAGCTCGACATCGAGTGTGACATGCAGACACCTTGTGGGAATTAGGGTTTGAGCAAAAGCTTTCTTTCCAAATTTAAGTTTAAGATTCGAATGTCATTTTTATGTTAGGTGAAATATTAATTAAGATTTGAATTGAGATTAATTATTTATACATTTTGTATAATATAGTTAAAATTATATTTTAAATTTGCATATTGTATTATAAAATATTTCGAAGTCTAAGATGTTAATAATTTAATTTATATTGTGTATGTGTAGGAAAAATAAAAAAAATAATAAAATATTATTTTAATCTTTTAATGTTAAACATAGGAAGATTAGTATTATTCATTAAGACATTAAAGAGTTAAAGTTATGAAAATATGAATCTAATTTTAAGTAAAGATAAAAATGAAATATTTAAAAAAATATAAGAAAATGTTAAATTAGACTCATGTAAAATTTATTTTTTAAATAAAATTTAATTAAAAATATTTCAAGTTTAAGTAAATATAGACCAAAATATTGATGAGGATGTTATTGGTAGAATCCAAGTTGGTTGGTTGAAGTGGAGGAATGCTTCAGGCTTATTGTGTGATAGAAAAGTACTGCTTAGATTGAAAGGAAATTTTTTGAGATGGTGGTGAGACCTGCAATGCTCTATGGCGTTGAATGTTGGCCTTTAAAAGAGAAGCATAAAAGTAAGTTAAGTGTTGCCGAGATGAGAATGATTAAGTAGATGGTGGCTTTACACTTAGAGACAAAATGCGAATGAATATATCCGTGATAGGGTTGGTGTAGCTCCAGTGACCGACAAAATTAGAGAGAGTTGTAGTTGTCTTAGATGGTTTGGATGGTTTGTTCACATTAAACGTCGATCATCTGATGACTGATTAGAAGAGTAGATGTTTTAGATTCGATTCATGTTAAGAAAGACAGAGGTAGACCTTGGATGACTTGGGCATATTGTATAAAAAATGATCTTAATTTATCGGATTTAAATGAAAATATGACACTAAATAGGGTGCAATGGAGAAAAATGATTCATGTACCGACCCCACTTAGTGGGATGAAGATTTTTTGTTGTTGTTGTTGTTAAGTAAATATAGATTATTTCATTAATAACAAATACACCTAAGAAAAGATAATATGCTTAGTTAATGGAAAAATATGATTAAATAATGAGATTTAATAATAGTTTCAATAAAAGCTATTAAAAAGAATATTTTACACATGATTATATGTATTATATTTAAAAAGTCGTATATATCAAAGGAAAGAAAGTTATTCTTGATTAAGGCAAGTACTCATCTTATGAAATTATTGTAA